AAGAAGAGAAGAAGCAAAGAAAAAGATGAAACAAGAAGTAAACGTTTCTCTCTCTCTCTCTCTCTCCTCTTTTTTTTTTTTGGGGGGGGGGGGAGGTGAATTCGTTTCTGAGATTCTTTCTTTGAAAAAAAAAATTGTCTCCATTATTCAACAAACTTCACATCCCATCTTAAAAAAAAAGAAAAAAAAAAGAAAAAAAAAGACAAGGATTCACGTATTCAACAATCACTATGGATTATGCGAACCCTTTAGCTTAATATAAAAGATTTTCGGAAATTCTCGTTTTTAATCTTTTTGATAAAAAAAAAAAATCTACACAAAATTTTGATATTACTTCCAATCGTTGTTATTGTTTTCCTTATTTTCTGTTTATCATTATTATGGTAAATCATTATTTTGTTTTTAAAATCAATTTTACTATTATTATCATTACCATAATCAAAGCATTCATCATTGACATTATTATAGTTATCATCACTGTTAACAATATACTCATCATGATTTTCATTATCATTATCATCATAACTACCATCATTATCCATATCATTATTACTATTACTATTATCCTTATTATCTCTGAAAGACCGATGCTAAACCAACATACCATACCAATAAAAACAGTGTGCAACTAGGAGCTTACTAGCTTCCATAGATATTACCTATCTACTCATACAGGAAATTTTACACACACTCCCTGTGGGTTCTCGTGTGGGAATTGGTTTGGGGGTCATAGTCATAGCATAATTATTATTATTATCACTACTATTATCATTATCATTATCATTGTTGTTATCATCATCGTTATTGTGTTATTACTATTGTAAATATCATTATTATTATCAATATTATCATTTATTATTATTATTATTATTATTATTATTATTATATATTATTATTATTATCATTATTATTGTCATTATTATTATTATTATTTTATCATTATCTGATAATGATTTGATGATGATGATGATTGATGATGATTGATGATGGTGATGAGTGATGGTGATGGTGATGGTGATGGTGATGGTGATGATGATAATGATTATCATTATTGTTATAATTACTATTAAAACTATGATTGTTTTGCTATTATCATTATCATTACTATTATTTGCATTATTGTTATTGTTACCATTGTTATTAGTGTCATAGCTATTGTTATTATTATCATTAATAGCATTGTTATTGTTATAATCATTATTACCTTTATTTTTGTCATTATTATCATCTTCATCATTATCACTCATATCTATTGTTATTTTATATATTTTTTATAGTTATTATCATTACCATCGGTATCATTTATCAATAAACAATAATTCAATTATTATTATTCCATTATTATTATTATTATCATTATCATTATCATTTCTTATCATATTATTATTAATATATTATTATCATTATTATTATTATTATTACTATTATCATTATCAATAACATCATTACCATTATAATGATAATAACAACAACAACAATAATAATAACGATAATAATGTTGACATAAAACGGTATCATCTTCATCACTATCATTTCACCTTCCTCATATTATCGTGATTATCCCTATTCCTTTTATTCGGTATCCCAGATTTTGCTTAATGAGATTCCCATCATTTGCTTCCGTCCGCCTTTGTGTTCGCGGACACGTGCCTCGCATTAACGTATAAACTTAATTATTATTCTCCGCGATCTCCCGTCCCTTTGATCCATATGGTCGCCCGCTTCTAAATGATGTATGCGATTTAATCCTGTTTTCCTTTTTCGATGTGTGATTTAATTCCGTTTTCTCTAATGGCGGGAGTTTAGATGTTTTCTTTAATGGTAGGCGGTTTTCCTTTTCTCTGTTGATTGTGCGTTTTAATCCCATATTATTTGCTGGTGTGCGATTTAATCTCGTTCTTTTTATTGATGTGCGATTTAATCTCGTTTTCCGTAATTGATTTGCGATTTAAATTCGTTTTCTTTATGGATGTGCGATTTAATCCTGTTTTCCTTTTTCGATGTGTGATTTAATTCCGTTTTCTCTAATGGCGGGAGGTTAGATTACGTTTTCTTTAATGGTATGCGGTTTAGTCCCGTTTTCTCTGTTGATTGTGCGTTTTAATCCGATATTATTTGCTGGTGTGCGATTTAATCCCGTTTTCTTTATTGATATGCGATTTAATCCCGTTTTCAATTTAATTCCCTTTAATGTTGCGATTTAATCCCGTTTTCTCTATTGATATGCGATTTAATCCCGTTTTCTCTATTGATATGCGATTTAATCCCGTTTTCCTTTTTGATGTGTGATTTAAATCCGTTTTCTTTACTGCTGTGCGATTTAATCCCGTTTTCTCTATTGATTGCGGTTTAATTTCGTTTTCTCTAATGATAAGCGATTTAATCCCGTTGACCTTTCTGATATTTGATTTAATCACGTTTTTATTATTATTATCATTATTGATATGAGATTAGATCCCGTTTTCCTTGATGGTAAGCGATTTCATTCCGTTTTCATTTTTTGTATGGAATCTAATCCTCTTTCCCTTAAAGATATGCGATTCAATCCCGAGATTAACTGGAATCTGGTACTTACAGGTATCATTGAGAGATTTCATCATTTCATCATCTATACCATTTTCTGTTGTCTTTGCTAGAAACGAAACACGGAAGAGAAATATAAAATAAGAAAGAACAAGAGGAGGGAGAGAGGAGAGAGAAAATGAAGAGAGAAAGAAGGAGGTGAAAGATGAAAGATGAGAGAAAAGGGGAGTAGGCGATGGAAGAGAAGGGAGAAGGGGAAAAAGCACGATATGAGAAAGAAAAGGGAAAAGGAACGAACAAAGAAAAATTGGGAGACAGAGATGAGAAAGGAAAGGGTTGGGAAAGGGTGAAGAGAAAAGAAGAGATTAAGGAGAAATAAGAGGTAATGACGAGAAGGAAAGAAAATTATGAAAGACCAAAACGAAATGAAAAAGAAAAGAGAAGGGCAAAAGGGGAGGTAAGGGACTGAGAAGTAGGAAGATGAAACAAAAGGCGATAAAGGAGAAGAGGGGAAAAGACCGTAAATGAGAAGGAAACAGGGGAGATGATGAGGAAAAGACAAGTAAACAAAGAGATAAATATAAAGGCGAAAGAGCACACGAAGAAGACGAAAAAGCTAAAGCGAATGAGAGGTATATCTAGCGAGAGAGAGAGAGAGATAGAGAGAGAGAGAGAGAGAGAGAGAGAGAGAGAGAGAGAGAGAGGAGAGAGAGAGAGAGAGAGAGAGAGAGAGAGAGAGAGAGAGAGAGAGAGAGAGAGAGAGAGAGAAACAAAGACACTGAGACAGAAAGAGGAAGAATGTAAAAAGAGGAAAAATAGAGAATCGAGAAAAAAAAACATAAACTAAAACATGCAGAATTAAGTAGCATCACAAGACGAATAAATAAACAAAATAAAATAAAAACAAATAAAGATAAATAAATAAACAGCCTTCCTTACCTGTAGTTCACAAGCATTATAGCGATGGGTATGAAGAAGAAAGCCGTGCTAAGGATGGTATAGTAAATCATCTTGCTGGTGAACTTGATAACACACTGTCCCGTAGCGTCCGGGGCACCGTGGTTGGGCCAGAACTCGTCACAGTGCCAGGAGGTAAAGTTCTTCCACTGGGAGAGAGGAAAAAGGGGGGTCAAAGGTCAAATTGTTGTTGGAAGGAGAGGGTCGAGATGTGTGAAGGGAATGCGTTTTGTGGTGGGCGGTTGTTGTGTGTGTGTGTGTGGGTTTGTGTGTGTGTGTGTGTGTGTGTGTGTGTGTGTGTGTGTGTGTGTGTGTGTGTGTGTGTGTGTGTGTGTGTGTGTGTGTGTGTGTGTGTGTGTGTGTGTGTGTGTGTGTGTGTGTGTGTGTGTGTGTGTGTGTGTGTGTGTGTGTGCTACGAAGTTGAATTTCGCCTTTCTAATGATGGAGTCAGTTGATTAATGATAAATTATCTTCGGCCGGTCTGTAAAAATTGTGCATATTCATATTTCCGGACATGCATATCCGCAGAAATAAATGCATATCTGTCTATCTATCTACATATCTATCAGGAAGATGATGCAAATATAGACCGATTGATATGCATTTATTTCTGTGTATGTGCATGTTCGTATAATGATTAACCATTGGGTCGGGTTTCGCACAATTTTACGAAACCAACCGTTGATATTGTTTGATACGAGCCATGTTGTTTTATACTGGGTGTTTTATTCTCGAATTGATTACGGAATTGATGTGTAAGATGAGTCGTGTTATTATGTTGATAATCTACTGAAATTCGCGTCTTATTTTTGGCACACTGTTTGAAAAAGATGAGAGAAACTCATTTATACATATGAGTGTATATTCGATAGAAGGCAAGTCAATACATTGTTTGGTGACAAATATTAATGTTCAAAATATGAAGCTTAATGAAAATAAGTAATTATACAGCAAGTGATGAGAATTAAGTCTTTTTAAGTCATTGACATCACCATGATATACGGAATTGAAGAAATTAATAATTAATGCAGAATAACATACACGGAATGTTCTGAATATATCTGCACATTTAAGATTTCTCAAAATTCATATATAAGAATGAATATCCAGTCTTTAAAAATCGTCAATTAACAGAGTTCCTGTTTGGATGCCTTACTAGAGAGTAATTGGCAATCAAAGAATAATTGCAGAAAATCGAACACGTGAAGCAACGTAAATACGAAAGGTGTAACAGAAAAATGAAAAGAGACTGACAAACACGTATTGTAAGAGTTGTCAAAATATCGCTTTATTGCTAAATGTGGAGACAAAGCAAGCTGGATTGAGAATTCTGAGATCCGACAAACGAAAGCTATGATAATTATCTTCCAAGGAAAATAAATAAACGTACCAAGAGAAAAAATCGATACCAAAAAAAAAAAGAAAAAAGAAAAAAAAGAAATAGAAACATGTAACCAGTAACTGCCCTCCCCCTAAAAAAAAAAAAAAAATGTACCAAGAAAATATTAAGAAAAAAAAAT